CAGGACACTTCCGTGATGCGTGACGGCGGTTCCTTCCGGCCGATCCAATACGAGCTCCAGACTTTAGGAACAGTCGGTTACTGCAATTACAGTGTTTTACATAGTCTGATCTCTGTTCTCTGTTGTGCTTGTGTTAAATTTAAATCTTAAACGACAACTTAAAAAACTCAACGTTATTTCCCATAAGGTCTGGGAACAAAGAGTGGAATCCACCACGAATCAACCTTTTCCTACTAATAATATATTTTTGGTTCTTACCGTCTACGCAATCAGGGACGATAATTCACTACGGCCGTTTCGGCTATAACTCCATCGTCAGGTGCGTGGTGGTACACTAAACTATAGTCTTGTTGCACTTAATACGATAAGTCTTCTTTAGATTGCGTCAGGGGTTGAATTAGACATATAAAAACAGGATGGACACGAAAACAAGAAAACATTTAGAGCACGTGGCACAGCTTAAAAACTGACGACCGACTTTTCCTACTGATGTTGTGAATCCAAAACCTCAGTTTTCATAACTTTTAATATTTTAATACCACATTCATAATTACTCCAAAGGTTGACCAAAAACCTTTAAGGTTTGTTGATAAGCTATTGGGAGAAAATACCATATGTTTCACTTTGCTGATACCGTTTATGTAGGCTACTTATTTGAAATATGGTGAAAATAATATAGAGTAGGTCTACATAAGCTACAGTTGAATAAGTGAATTATAAATTTGGACCTGGAAGGATTAAACATTTAAGTAAACACAACGTTTAGGCCTACATGCATCATTTATACCACTGTCACAGAAAAATAAACTACTGTAATAGTTATTAGCCTTGTTCAAGTTTTTTTTATTATTTTTAGTATTATTTTTAACCTACAATTAATTGATTCAATTTATAGATTAGGTCTACCACATACAATAAAACTTTATAGCCTGTATACAAAGTATTCTTCAGTTTTGTAACCCTAAGTGTAATATAAAATATGTTAGATTCTAGTTTAGACTTGGTGTCATCAGTATTCTCACAGCTGCATATCTTATGATTGCACTATCTCTGTTGCTCTAGATAGGTTGTCACTTATCTGTAGAGAGTAATAAAAGACTGTAGAACTGAAGAACTTTATTAGAGGTTATATATATTACAGACAGCATGTGTTCTGGCCTAGCCCGTTATGGCATAACAATCCCTGAACGTTGTAAAAATTATTGTCTTTGCCAACCATAGAAAGATAGGAACTGAAAACAAAAATATGATTAACTTAGAGGCTACTATCAATCTATAAAATGGTGGTGATGTGGTGTGTTCTGTATTTAAACGTAAACAATAATGAGCAGACTTAGCTGAAATTTTACAAAGTGATCAGCTACCCGGCCAACGCTATCGTCTGTAAAACCCATTTGGGGTGTCCAAGCTTATAATGTCTACACAAGCTTACTACATTTTATATGTAAAATAGCTGAACGTATTAAAGTGCGAGGGGTAGCTAATCAAGAACAGGACAGTTGTTTCATATCATTTCAAGCCACAGAGAAATTTCATTACTGTTAGCCTACAGAAATTATGTGACTTCCTATTTAACACAAAATGGATGTCAAATTTTATACAAAACGCTTAAGTTTTAGACTTAAATAAAAAAGTATTTTAAGCTGTTCATAAACTATATAAGTAATAATTTACAACCCAGACCCCAGCCATAACGAGAGGATCGTGGGGATGCGTAATACGATCCCCCGGAAAACCACCCCCCCAGGTGCAACGTGACGCCACGAATTCTGCCAACTAACCAATATGGGAGCTGTGTCAGCAACTGGAATACTAACCCCCCTAGCAAATGTGATGCTATGTAATTGTAATTTTAATTCGAGTAATTCCCTTTGATAACAGAAAAGGCATGCGGGGAATATCATGCGGAATTCTGAAACGTTACAGCAAGTTTGGTTGGTTAGGTTAGGTCAGTTTAGAACAGTATGACAACGAAACTTGAGTGTCCGTGACTGGAAAACTGATTAGATTAGTATCGGTCCCAAAAATTGACCAGGTAAGGTAACAAAACAGAACCTAAGCACAGTTCCTTCAAAATCTCAATAGGCTACGGTACACCATTTAATTACACAATAACCTTTCACCCATGAATATTGAATTTAATAATAAAATCCTCCTACAAAATATATAATTTACTGCAGTCTGAAAATTAACCAAAATTAGCACATAGGCTATGCAAAATGCATGGAGACATTATGAGCACGACGTCTTCTTTGGTTTGCTGATTACAACCCAGCAACTACAACGGAACAAAAGATTCCCTTCATCCAATGAACACATATTAATACCCACATGTTTCAAGATGAATTAATATAACTAGTGCACCTGTTGCTCGAACTTGAGCAATTGCAAAGTATTACAGGCGTTATATATATATTTTAAAACAAATAAACGTAACAATTTCCAATGACTTAAAAGAGTCTAATGTATAAACTAAAAGATAGCCTAATGTATAATCATTAACTTCACTCCAGTTATTGAAACTGGAAACAAACTCACTCTGGAAACAAATGCTCACTCCACTCCAGTTATCGAGACTGAAAATGAACTCACTCTAAAAACAAATGTTTAAGTACAAACAAAATCTTTATTTCATTAAAAACACATTGGGATTTTTATGGCCGGTGGGGCAAAGCCAAGGACTTTTATTCGGAATTGGTGAAAGGGGGCGTCTACAAAAAAAAATATGTGACACATCGCTTGTAAAAATCCGTCCATTATTAACGGAGGAGTAGTGTTTCGTAGAAATCGCCTTCACGTGTTATATATGAGGATGTCCAAAGGCGACTTCCAGACACAATCACTAAAACGCAAATCACAAATGTCACAATTTAAGGTATATGTTTTTAGGAAAAAGCATTTAGCTTGGATTAAATAAATATATAGGATGGAGAGGACACAGCTAACTAACCTGATGAAAGGTTGCAGACGAGTCAAAGAACACATAAAATCATGAAATGTGTTCTTTGACTCGTCTACAACCTTTCATCAGGTGAGTTAGCTGTGTCCTCTCCATCCTATATATTTATTTAAATGTCACAATTAGTGTTTTATAGGTTTCGCCACATTTGTACTTCCAACGCCTTTTGCAATAGCTTAGGCCTACGGATTGCCTTCCTGTCTCCGCTCCACAATGGTAAACATAACCACAGAGGCACAGACCAATAGCAATGCTTCTAATGCTCCAACAAACCACAGCAACAAACACAGCTGAGCCACAACAACTAATGTTTAGGTTGTTATTGATTAAATTTATCAATTTCAGGGAAGTCCGGCTGATTATCCATCCATACCTGGTAATTAGGCCTACTTACAAATTGCCCTTTTCTCCCGATGATTACTGTAACTTAAACCATGTTTGATGTCTCCCCCACCCAAAACCCCAAATTCCCACCAGTCTCCTAGTGAGTTGGGAGTTATTGCTTAAATGAGGTCTCAGTGCCAAAAAGTAATTTAATAAAGTTGAGCTTTTTATGCCTTATAGGCCTAGTTAAAAAGTGATTTTAGAACACTTTAGCAACATCTAAAGGCATCCGAGTCAAATCACCTGGAATTCAAATGCGATTTAAAATTGTTTCTTTTAAATAGACGGTAGCGTAAAGGTTAGGCCTACTTTAGCGCCCCTGACTTCCTGATTGACAGCTAGAATCATAATCATCCACATGGAAACCAAATGGGAATGAGTTTAGGTAAGTTTTCTGTTTTAAGTTTTTAAGCCTAATTTTGTTAACTTAGGATAAGCTTCTTGTGACGTTTTATGTTAGCCTATATGTTTTTTTTATGTTTTATGTTAGCTTAGGCACAGAAAACATATTACTATAACCCAGAATGCCAACCGCGTGGTAAAAAGCATTAAGTGTTTTGAGAGAGCTTTGCCTGTCAATCATAGGCAGCGCCACCAGCGTTGCTATGCTGAGTGCATGGCAACGCTGGTGGCGCTGCCTACGATTGACAGGCAAAGCTCTCTCAAAACACTTAATGCTTTTTACCACGCGGTTGGCATTCTGGGTTATAGTAGTATGTTTTCTGTGGCTTAGGCCTACTTGATTAAATGGTATTTTGGTATTATCCGGAGGCCACTTATTTAAGAGGGATTTTTTTTACTTACCGGAGACCAAAAATACTTAACTACACGTTAAATATAGGTAGGTACTTAGCCTAATTGGAAAGAACATACTTCAATTGACTTAAGTTAACTTAAGTACTGTTCAAATTTGACATGATTACGATTGGCGGCATTTGAGTTCAGCCTCCCAGAAGGCAGCGATGTCAGAGAGGATTGAGTTGGATGCGTCGCTAGCGCTATACTCCGACAAGTAGGCCTAACTAAGATATACAGTGTGCTGCGGCGGTTATGTTAGGTTGGGTTATCATAAATATGTTTGTAGGACTTTCCTTGTTTCGTTATACAAGCAGTGACAGGTGATGTGCGCGCTCCGGTCAACGACCTGACCTTGGCCTACTTGAAGGAAATTTGACATGCAAAAGTATGACTCATTTGGTCAATTTGTTTGATTCATAACAAACAAGGAAAGTCCTAACTTAACTTACAAACATATTTATGATGCGGTAACCCAACCTAACATAACCGCCGCAGTGCGTTGCAATAGGGTGGCTTACGGATAATACTAAAGTACCGATTAAATCAATTACTTAACACCAACCACCATAAAGGGACTAGGCCCAGGCCTATACTTTGATTGTGGATCCCAGGTAAGTTAGGCCTTGGTTATTACTAGTAAATAACTCATAGCCTATTATAAATATAGCCTATCAGGTTCACTGCTAACCAAAGTAAGCTACTGAATGATACTTTTATTATAAAACAGTTTTAAACCAACTTTGCCCAGCTAGGCTAAAAACAGTAACCTAGTGTTGGGCTATGACATTGTATGAACCATAGTTTACATAGAAAAATACCACTTTGTGCCTAAGGTGTAAATTAGCAGGTAAATACTTACACGACCATTCCATAAGCTCCTTCTCCAATGTAAGCTAGATTAGTATATCTGGGTCCGACTTCAAACGTTTGTCCTCTCACTATTTCGGCATTGCTTACACCCGCTTCACCCGCACCAGCCACCTCCGCCGCCATTTTATCAAAACTATCAAATTTTCGGACGTCTCTACGCGATACAATCAAGGGAGTTTCGTTTCGTCAACAGATGTCAGTGTCAGTATTTTGTCCACCTTGCGCATGCTTTTCATTTAAAAACACTGCATAGAGTACGTTTTTGACAGCTGTAACGTAATCGTACTGGGTGGGTTCCATAATATCGACAACCGTAGAAATTGATCGAAACTGAATTATTCCCAGTTTGTCGACACTGGAATATTCCCACTTAACCGACATCCCAAATAACCGACGTCACAAATGATCGACACCACAAATTGTCGACATCCCATATTGTCGACAATGAAATAGTTTCATTTTGTCGACACTGAAATAGTCCCAGTATATCGACAAGCACCCGTTCTTCGGAGCTACTCTTGAAAAGGAGTTGTTCTAATTCATCGTTCAGTTCCTCAACTCACGAGTCGCAATATTTGATTCCGAATTCCGATTTCCGACGGACATTTCTACATTTTATTGACTAAGAAATTTTATGTTGTAAATATTTATCTTGTTTATTTCTTTCCTTGTTTACAAGAAAATAGATGACTCGAGTGTTACAAACTATAGTTTTTAAGGAATAATGTGAAATAAGTTAATTTTTATAGGATAAAAAACTTAATCAACATGATAACTTAATAACATTAGTCCTACCAGACACTAACTTAGGTAAGTCACCAACAAGAACCTAAAGCCTATGTCACATTGGCTACTTAGTAGCTGCTATTTCGCTAGCTGCTAGTAAAGTAGCGTAGTGTGACACAGGCTTAAGATACAGCTTTTTCGTAGGCTAATTCTGGATCATCAAGCAATATTGTAGCAAATGTTTGAATAGGCATTTACCCCTAGGGGGTACAGTTTCTTAACTGGGCTACGCTAATATTGATTGAAACTATCGATTCGATTAGTAAACCTTCATGCGATTTTTTCACCATCAGCAAGTTTGGTTGGTTAGGTTAAGATAGTTTAATTTGATAATAAATATATTAACAAATATCGATTATTAATCAATCTCTATTTTCAATTCGATAGTTTCAATCGATATTAGCATAGCCCAGTTAAGAAACTGTACCCGTCTCTTTCCCACTGACCCAGTGTCAACTTTAAGAATTTGTTTAAGTTATGTAAAAATATTTGGCTGCACTTATATCGCATGAAGGTTTACTAATCGAATCGATAGTTTCAATCTATACTTATTAGCATAGCCCAGCTAACAAACTCTACCCGTATTTTGAATATTTCATTCCTTTAGTTAGGTTAGGTTTTACCCTAACTAACCAAACTTGATATAGGCCTAGGCCTAAGTTTATCAAATGAAATAATCAACATGACTGGGACGGGTGGCGTCGTCCTGTAATCCAGCTACTAGGAGGTCACGAATTGTGGATATTTATAGGCATGCACTGTGGATTCGACACTCCCTGGTGTGGATTAACGTCCGCACGAGTGAGTACTTACTACGACTCTCCCCAGTACTATCCTGATAATTAGACCAATTCGTACTTATAGGCCTATACCAAGGCAATAACTTAATGTGGTTCGGATTCCACTATAAACTGTATGTCCCTTAGTTGCCATTAGCTGTTTGGGCTATTAATTAACAGCTGTGTCTAAGGAATGTCGGTCTTAGTCACTAACAAGACTACAAGATCGCTCCACTCATCCTACACTCATCTCCATTCATACTTGGCTTAAAATACCTACTTTGTATGGTCGCCAAGTAATAAGAAAGAAAGTAGGCCTATTAAAGAAATACATTCATTGGAATGAGTGTAGGACGTAAACTTAAGTGCTGTCAAATATTCTAGAGCTGTTTGTATTTGGTGTAAGACTAGACTTGGATTATATTCATTCATTGCTGATGACTTCATTGTTAGTTTTATAGATGATCCTGGAGCAAAGGCTGTAATTTAACCTGAACCCAAATTGGTCTCTGTTTTAAATATTGTCTTGAACCAATAAGTTAAGAGGACTAACTGTTCTGGACGACATTGCCATCGATATCACTGCAGATGAGAGAGAAAGAGAGACCAGAGTTGTGTACCCTGGAGGCAATTACCATACTGCTGTGATAATGTTCCTTGGTCTAACCATAACTTAAGTGAGGTGAGTCAATATTCTTTCCCCTTTGGGATAGATTCTAGGCTGTTTGTTAACTAAGTAATTCAAAGTCCAAATCGGTATTTTGGTAAGTATTATCCGGAGGCTCACCAAAGGACTTGTGTTTGTTGTGTAGGCTTGTGTTTGGAGGAGTATTATTGGAGGAGCGCTGTACAGATGTACAGCGCTTTGCGGCGGTTAAGTTATGTTAGGTTGGGTTATCTATCATGGAAAGAACATTTTTATGTCCTAGGCCTACTGTCCATATTTGGGTGGGTTTATTCTTAACTGTACAATATCTTTTGTTTGAATTTTTTGCGTTTATAAATTTATTTTATGGACAGAATTTAACCTTCATTCGATTTTTTTCATTATCAGCAAGTTTGGTTGGTTAGGTTAGGTTATGACAGTTAGGGTCCGGTTGCCGGACCCGTATCCTCTGCGTAGATTTTTACGTACTGAATCCAAAGACCACTATTTTTCACTGCAGATGAATATTAGCCTACTGAAACGGAATAAATCACCGCTCAAAATGTTTGAATAGTCAAGGTAGAGTGGATTACATTAACAAGTGGAATGAACTGTGGGTGAAGTAATTTAAGCCTACAGCTGATTGTTTTCAACACCAAGCAATTGGAAGTGACAACTTTATTTAATAAATATGATTCTGTCTTTGCTCATAGGCCTATTGACGTCACATCAATTGGCCCCGATTAATATTAATGGCTGATCATATTTATCGGCGTTCCAATGCTCTAAGTCATAGCCTCCTCTACGTATTTTATAGGCCTGCCTAATAACTACAATTGACTAAATTCTTTACCCTAGGGGAGCGAGCAGAACTTCAGTACCGGGCTCAAATCCTGCCAGATGACCAATGGATTTTATTTATTATTTTTATTATTATTTTTTTGTGAACACCACAGCCCTAGACCTAGGCTGAAGTGTGAAATGTGAATTAAAATTCCGGACTAGTGCCTGTAGCGTCCTAGGACAAAAAATGTGTGTATACAGTTATCACATTCCTTATAAACTAATAACTAGGCGGCCTGTGTGCAAAATTACACATTTTAACATGATAACAGTAATAATAAAAAGGTTGTTTAAGTCAGTCATTCAAAGTTTTCAAAATGAAGCGCATGTGAATTATTTTTCCAACTGTCACCTTACAAAGTGGCCTTTCTTGCACTTATTATAGCACAGAAAGTTGCTAATTGCTGCATTTACTTACTTTTACCGCGTTCTTTTTTTGCCGCACTCCTGTATTCCAACCAAACAACACAAAACAGCGTGGTTTTATTAGACACGTATAATACATACGTACACTTGAAAATAAGTTGGCTACCCATTCAAGATATTACGACTACGATCAACTGGTACAGCTTACCATTTCACCAATGTATGGATTTAACCTAACCTATAAACGTGTTGAACAGAGTTTGAAAGACTAATTATTTATATGTTTTATAATAACTGTAAGAAAAATATAATTTCTAACACAAGTGCAAACTGCCTTTGCTGCACTCGAGATACTTTCCACACTCGCCTACGGCTCGTGCGTTTAAACATTTCTCTCATGTGTAGCAAAGTGCCACTTCGCCCACTAGTTACTATAGTTTTTGGTGGAACATGAGGATAATATATAATCTGTATGCAAATTTATAGTTTTTTATAACAATTTAAATCCAGGCCCCTACTTAAAATTTATTTGGATTACATCTCGAAACATGTTGTTTGGAAATTACTTATAATTAGGCTATAGCTTGCATTTTTGCAAATTGGGAAATAACAATGAATTAATATTTGAAGCAATTTATTTTGTCTAAACCAAATTATTGTTACAAATTCTAATATTTTGTACTAACTTGACCCAGATTTGCTCAAACATTTTCCTATTAGCTGTGTACCTATTTGAATATCGCAAATATAGAAAGGAGTGTACACACTTGTATTATTTGTTAGACTAAAATTATTTGTATAACACTATTTTTTTGCAATATTTCTGTACAGAGCTGAAGCCTACCAGTAAAATGGGGGTGTTGTAATTAATATCCTCCGACACTGGAGGATACAGGGGAGAGGTGTCAGAGGAAGAGGAGTTTTAGGATGGGGCCAGTAAGACTAAGATTGAAGAAAACTAACTTATGGTAAGTTTTGCCATTTACTTAAATTTAATACTTATAAATCCAGGGCCGTGTCCATTGCCCCGAAGCCTATGTCGCATAACCCTCCTGAATTACTAGTATTTAACACATTGCCCGCTTAAGACGTCCTCAACCCTATTAAGAAATAGCGGAGGACGTCCTAAGACGTCCTTGTGTAAGGTTAAGCAAATGGTGTTACAGTTGTCCCCGTTTTCAAACTAGGGAATTGAAACTCTGTCAGCCCTTGGGGGACATATTGAGTATTACGTCATTACCGCCGCTTGCAGATCCGCCGCTCCGGTTGGTGGCACTCGCGGCGGAATTTTTGAATTAATTGGCCGAACAAAAGCAGCCAGTATGAGTCTAGTGTTTGACGGTGAACGTTACTACTTGCTGAGCGTGGTCTGTAAACACAATAGAAATCTGTTTTTGCCGCCACTCCTTAGTTCGGGCGTGCTGCGATTTTTTGCGGATTTTTAAGTTCGCGTTTGTTTTTATGTAAGTTTGCGCTTGTGTTTAGTCGTGTTTGGACTTTTTTATGTATTACGTTCCAAGCAGTGCTGCTATCTGTGGGTGTTTAACGAACTACGTCGACTCTTGTAAAGCAGGACATCGCCGCACGTTCTTTGCTATTCTTCAGACCGAAATTGGAAAGCCAATCACTCGCGGCAATCGGGTTTGTTCGACGCTGAGGGCTGCGCCGCACTGGGTTACGCCCGCCCTTTGACGTGCCGCAGCGAATGTGTTAACCAGCATTTTAACTGGAGAGGTGCCCAAAAATTTGCTTTTGTTTTTTAGGAAATGTAGGCTATATTTTTTTACACCATACAGTAATTATAATTATTTTGAATATGTCATTGTGTTTACATTTGGTTAGTACTGAAACAGCAATAATTTTAAGACAAATGGAAAAGCCCTGTCAACAGAAGCAGTTGAAACAAGTAGAAAAATTCTCATACAACAATTAATTATTTAGTACGAGCGTGGTTCAATAAGACCTTAGAAAAATATATAATAACACAATTTTTTGTGATAAATTTGATTTATTTTGTTATAATCTCCTTTTATTTAGCTCTATACACTTATCTTAAAGTTCCGCAAAACCTCCTTCAAATGCTGTCCAAATAAATAGCACCCTACAAACATGAAAAGCCTTCAAAATACTCTTCTTTTTCAGTGATGACCTCATCATTTGACATAAAACGTTGCCCACCAGGTCAATTTGTTATCTTAAGAAATAAAAAAGGTCATTCAGGGCGTTTGACAAACAAAATTATTCGACGGTTTTCTTTGCCACCCTGTCAAGTGAGTGAGTGTTGGAGGGTGGTGGGAATGGTGTCGTCCCGTTTGCGAACAGTCCCGTTTGCAAACAAATTTTTGGCTGTGGGGTGAGGTACCTGGGAAGGAGTCCCGTTTGCGAACAAGTTTCGTTCTACCCTCAGTCAGGTAGACTCCCGCACGTTAATTGTTGTCTTTCTGCTTGTAGAATACAAAGCTAATATTCAAAGACATTATCAGAATATCTGCTTTTTAGGCCTACTTTTGAATATTGATTGTATAAATATTGGTTATTTCATCGGCAGTAAACAAGTACAATGAATCAATACGAGCAGGGACTATTCTTTTGATTAGATTCATTAACTGTCTGTAACGAATATAAATAAAATGTGACATGTTTATTTATTCTTATATTTGATGGTTCATTGATTATTGATTTTATGAAATAAGTGAGATTGTATATTTGTTGTTGTATCTAACCCTAATTAATTATTAAAAATTTCGCTAATGTGAATAATTGTATTGAAAGATTTTGGTGTAAAAAATAGTGAAATTATAAAGTTCACATTTACTTGAATCATTTTAAAATTTTTGAACAATTAACATGTGTTAAGAGTAGGGTACACACCTTAAAAATTGAAACTTTTTCTCAAGGAGATAATTGACAAACATATATATTTTTGCCATTTTGAGAGAAATATTGTTTACACCATTTGCCTTTTCACAAATTTTTAAATCCTAATTTCATATTACTACCCATGGATTAGTTATGATGTTTTCTAATCCAGAGGTAGCTACTACCTATCTATATTATAACTTTTGACACTTTCTGTAAATTTCACATTCTATTCAATGAATTACTTTTTATGAGCGTTTCATGGTCATGATATGTATATTTTCAACCAAGTTCCTCTTAACTTAACCTACCCTCGACATAAACATTGTTTGATGACGTTAAATTTCCTAATTCTAAGCTGATATACAAATATTTCAATTTAAAAACAACAATAAAATACCCCCACTGCAGCAAACCTGCAGACTAAGCGAATTTCCATTTGACTGATTTGATTTACACTGAAATGTCTACTTACAAATATAACATTTATTCCCGATTTAAATAGAATTAGTTTAACAAGTACTTAGGTTTGCTGCATCAGGGAGGGTAAAACTGTTTTTTTGTAAAACGTTAATAGTTAGTAAAAAATAAAAACATTTTCCAAATTTGATAAAAATATGTTCATAAACAAGCAAACTACAACAGTTTACTTATTCTCCATAAGAATAACATGGGAATTTTAAATTTACAATTTTTTGGAATTTCCTCCGTAACCATAAGGCGCATAATAACGCTTCAATATACTAAGTTATTTGTTTTTTTAAGCTCTACAAAATGGTTTGGAAAGAAATTGCTAATTTTTATGTTTTTTGGGTCAAAAATGGGAAAAACCTATTTTTACCCCATAAAACCCCCCGTAAACCCCCGTTCCCATGGTCCGATCATGCTGGATCGCGAACTCGTTCAAATAATCGTAGGTTTACACGTTTGTGCCAAATTTCATCAAAATCGTTGTCGTTGTTATGGTTTGTTCGTTATGTAGAGGTAAAATATACATTGTGTCTAATGGAGAGTTCTAGGGGATTAAAAAAAATTTGTTTTATTAAGGAATTCGTTATATTGAGGTTCGTTATATCAAGGTTAGACTGTATTAATTTTTGTTCTGTTATATTCCAGGCCTGATGACAGGGTGGATGGCAATGGAGGCATGGAGGTTGGGGGAGAGAAGGCTGAAGAAGTGAAGACAAATCAGTTTAGATTCATTATAATGATTAGTTTAATATTTATTTTGAATACCAGTATACTTTTATTTAAATTTTTTCTCATTTAGATTATTTAATTAAGAAAATTTTATTATTTTTATAAAGATGTTTTCTTAAATTTTTAATATTTGTTTGTACTTCTGCCTGGTAAAAAACAAAACTGTTTATTATGTTTGTTAAAATGATTAGCCTACTTCCACTAATGGACCTTGTCTTGGGTGAAACGAGATATCTTGATATTTAACTAGCAGGGTGCCTGTTCTATCTATGGGCGGGGATCGTATAAGTCAGTTGAATTGAAACCTTCTTATATTTCGATATTTGGTAAATTAATCATTTCCAACTTTATATAGTATAGATCGCTATTTCTGTATTGATGTACTGAAATGAATAAAATTATATGAAATTAAATGTTGTTTTTTTTATATATTCTGATGAAACACTATTGATAAGGCATAACAATATTCTAAAGTTTATAACAGCTGATGTTTGTGTTTTTATTAATGATTTATTGTATTGTGACTTTTGAGTGGTTGAAGGATTTGTGGTGATTTGGTTTTAAGGAGATTGATGTTCCTAATTTTTTAAAGTCTATCTATATCTATCTATCTATATCTATATCTATCTATACTTATTTAATACGCAAGCAGGTTTTTTGTGACAATTACTCCTCCGAAACTACTGAACCGATTGACATGTTTTTGGTGTCATTGGAAAGAGTGTAACGTGAAGTTGTGCAGGAAACTTTCTTTTTAGGGAAATAATTAGAGAGTGAGGCACTGGGGCCCTTTTAAGTTTCATATTTCTCCATAAGATTAACATGGGAAACAAAAATTGTTATGAAACTCCAGCTGTTGTACGAAATTAAAAGTGAGAAGAAGAACATATATTTTAATTGTAAAAAGTCGATAATTTTGCTAATTTAACAGTTTGCTACAAATATTTACTGACTTCGTTGAAATGAAATATTTACTATTTGAGTTTGGGTTAGCGTAAATATTACAGTGGAAAAAAGTGAGAGAGCCTGGATAAATTGATATTAAAAAAAAAAACTGCATTAACACTGTGCTGCATTTTTTAGTAATCGTTGAAAGAGCCAATTTGCAAATCATGGAAACATAGGAAAGTCATAAAACACCACTAAGGAGAAGAATTAGAAATAATGTTTTTTGATTTTTTAATTTCCTAATTGTAGAAAACACTAAAAAACAAGATCAGCTTTTGAAAAATGATAAGATATTTACAAGAAATTTTGATTATATCCATCTGTTATGAACATTTGAGTATTTCCATAATCTTTGAGTCGAATCTTTTAAAGTCATCAGAAATTATGACTATTATTCGTTTTACAATAATGCCTGTAATTCTTGGCAATTGCTCGAATTCGAGCAACAGGGACACTAGTACTTATTTAATACGCAAGCAGGTTTTTTGTGACAATTACTCCTCCGAAACTACTGAACCGATTTACATGTTCTTGGTGTCATTGGAAAGAGCGTAACGTGAAGTTGTGCAGGAAACTTTCTTTTTAGGGAAATAATTAGAGAGTGAGGCCCTGGGGCTCTTTAAAGTTTTGTATTTCTCCATAAGATTAACATGGGAAACAAACATTGTTTTGAAACTCCAGCTGTTGTAGAAATAGCATGAGAAAATTCACAATGTTTACATTTGCTTTGACATTTAAATGTAAACAACCAGAAATTAAAAGTGAGAAGAAGAACATATGTTAATTGTAAACAGGCAATAAGTTTGCTAATTTAACAGTTAGTTTGCCACAAACATTTACTTACTCGGTTGAAATGAAATAGTTACTATTTGGGTTGGCGTAATTATTACAATGGGAAAAAACGAGAGAGTCTGATTAAATTGATATACTAAAAAGAAAACTGAATTAACACTGTGCTGCATTTCTTAGTAATCATTAAAAGAGACGATTTGCAAACTATGGAAACATAGGAAAATCATAGAACACCACCAAGGGGAAGTAATAGAAATAATGTGTGTTATAAACACTAAAAAACAAAATCAGCTTTTGACAAATGATAAGATATTTCCAAGAAATGTTGATTATATCGATCTGTTATGTACATCTTGAGTATTCCATAATCTTTGAGTCGAATCTTTTATAGTCATAAAAAAATATGACTGTTATTCGTTTTAAAATAACGCCTGTAATACTTAGCAATTGCTCGATTTCAAGCAACGATATTGATACCAACTTAATATAGACTAATATAAAGAAGAGTTAAATTTTAAAAAATTGTCATTTAAATCTAATAATTAGTTTTTTTGTTGAAAATGTCAATAATAAATTAAAAGATATATGTAACTAAAGGAGATGAAGGTAAATAATGTATGTCAAAGTTTTATTCGAGGATTTGGTCAGTTTTCCGCATATCAGCCAACACAAGATTTAAAATTAATCAAAACCAAAATGGTGGTATCCACTACTTACCAGATTTAAAAGTCATAACTTAAATGTTTCTAAACGTTGAATTTTGTTTCTAAAAGCGTTGGGGGATGTGTAACTATTATATGCAACAGATGTAAAGATTAAAATGTTTCTGTTCTGTATCCTCTTCCCGTTGCAAAGCACGGGTACAACAGCTAGTAGTCTATAGAATAATATGGAATAGTAATAAATAAATTTTATAAATATTACTCTTGAGCTACTTTACAAAAGAAGATTCTCCACACTTCCAGTTTGTTTAGAAGAATCCTTATAAATAAATCAGCTGATTGAATTACTTAAAATGTGAAGAATATTTGTTGGAGACCGTTCGGGGAAAATCATTAGTTTACTATAAAAGCAGTCTTAGTATTGCAGATATGAATCCATTCCCAGACACTCTGCACTGCTAGCCTTTACTAATTCTTTCACAATTTCCTGTTTCGTGGACATGTTTCCATCCCTTCTCATAGCATTTCAGTATTGCAAATACATTATTCTAACTGCTACAATCTGTTTCCAGTTCCCACACTCCACACTGCTCACCTTTTCTACATAGCATTTTAGGATTGCAGATACCTTAATATAATCGTCATAAACGGTTCCCACACTCCGGACTGCTCACCTAGACTACTTCCTTCACCACTTCCTACGTCGCGGACCTGTTTCCCTCCCTTACCATAGCATTTGAGGATTGAAGATACCTTAATCTAATCGTCATAAACAGTTCCCACACTCCGGACTGCTCGCCTTTACTATTTCCTTCACCACTTCCTAGTCGCTGACCTGTTTCCCTCCCTTTCCATAGCATTTAATGATTGCAGATACCACAATCTAATCGTCATAAACAGATCTCACACTCCACACTGCTACCCTTGACTACAATGTATCGAGTAATCTTCAGTATAATCTTTGCTTAATAGTAACAACTGATGTTTTTCCTTTTTTATTGTATTTTGTAATTGCTAGTACTGTGGATAGACTACTTACAAGTCTTTTGTTTACTTTTTCCTTGTTATTTAATTCAGCCAAGATGGTTACTAAGCAACCCATAAGACTAATGTTAAAAAAATGTGATTTTTCAGTTTCATTTTTCTACGTAGTTAGATTTTTGTTGGCAGTTCTAACAGCAGTAAACTCGTTTTTAGGCCAGTAATAAACTATTTACAACATTTGAAGAAAATCGTCGGAGCCGTTTTTGAGATCTTGGTGCAAGCATACATGTATACATACATACAAGCAAACATTGTTCATATTAGAGTATGTATAGGATAGGATATTGGTAAGAAACCTTGTACCATTATCTTATTTTAGTTTTTATTTTAGCTGTAGTTGTACTGACGTTTTCCAGTAATATAACTGCATTTTCAAAATGCCATTTTGTGGAAATAAAAGTTCTTGATTCTTGATTGCGGTTATAGACGAATCTAAACAGTCAATCAGTTTTGCTGGAAGAACAGAAAATTTCTGGGGTTTAAAGGAGAAATATTGAAAACAGGAGGAGGAGACAATTAATAGGAAATATTATACGTATTAGATGAGTAGAGGAGATGCCTGGTCTCACAGTAAATCCAGGTACACAATCATACTTCGGGAGATGAATAATTTTTGCCAGATATATTAAGCAACTTAAAAAAACCATGAAGATTAATATACACATCATGTTGTCACAGTGGTAACAATCTGTCACCAAGGTAATCTTTAGTAAACCTACCTAAAGTCAGATCAAATAAATACGCGCAAGAAATGTTTACTGCTGGTAACAGCTTTAATTCGGGAAACATTAGTGGAAAACACAAAAAAATAAGGCCGGGTCCAAAAAATGCTAAAATATTTTTACAAGAAGCGCTTATTATTTCAAAGCACTATTAAATATCGTGAGTCAAAGGTAATAGAGTAGGCCTAAACAAACAATAAATCTTCATAAATAAAATTAGAGTTTAGTCTGTACATTGCTCAGAATTATATATTTTTGATTATTTGTACATTTTATACATTAGAGAAGCCGAAACAACTCAAACAAGCCTTATCTCAATTGCTGTCTATCTCTCCAGCACTATACAATGCCCGAGCGGAAATACCATTGATATCATAAAAGCTCACCCAACGATGTGAGCGTGAGCCTCCCAACGGCGTACTGTACTTTTCTGTACTATTCAGTATATTATGTATATTCAGTACTGTACTATTCAAATTGTCTAGGTCTAGTAAGGACCGTTTCCCGACTGTACGCAGGATATGAGCATGTATTGTCATTGACTAGTCAATTGTATTGTATATATTTGTTCCCTCATCTTTTCCTTAAAATACTCACATATGGTGGCGTCGAAATAATAACTCTACTTCAGTAAAGAACAAATTTAATATTACACCCTACAATATGAAATATTTTGTCCAACTGAAAAGAAGAGTGATATAATTTCGAAACCCCTTAATAATTGTACATTTAAAATTCAGCAATACAATTATTATTATCAATTATCAATTACAACATATAATTAAAGCTCCATATAAAGAATTGTGTCAGTAAAAAGGTCAGGATGGGTTTATTCGCCAAATCAATAAAACACGCAGTTAACGTAATCTGTATTGCTTTCATTTAACAATATATAGTAAGTGTACTATTCCTCCTGTAGTTGCCCGATTGCACCTATGGTCAGGGATTAGTACCTACGATTGCACCGACAGCCCTTTTTTGGGGTACCCGTTAATACTAATGTTTGTATACTTTTAATCTTTAAGTACGGTATTTAAATTATCTAACG